CATGGATAGTCGAAAATCTGTATCTACCTTCAATAGATAAAAGTCGGAACGACTTCACGAAGAAATGACAAGAAAAATTTTGTATATCATAATTTGTTTGATTTTTTCTATTATTAGCATGATTGATTTGATTAATATAATCATGACATGATGGATTTGATGTGTTCTTAAATAAACAAATTTTTTTTATAATTTAAAAAAAGATCTTGGCGTGACTCTTGATTGTAAGTCTTAATGATGTAATTATTCAATTTTAAAATTTTATGATATTATTTAAATACTATTTTTTTTTACTGATTATATAAAACTCAACCCTTTCTATGCCCTTTTCCAAATGAGGATGATAGTGAGGAACCGATCGTTGAGCTATTCCTTGAAGTCTTTGAGGATCCTGTGAATCTATAAACCTTGAGTGCATGACTTGTTTCGCACTCTGATGAGTCCTTTCACATAATGAAAGAAGTGACCATTTTTGTATTTTGATATTTTCTATTTTGTTACCACTTCTGACATCAGTTATATGTGTAATTGGAACTCATATATTTTGTAAGAAATTTGGAATAAATTACTCCGCTGCATATAATTGACTATTATGCACTCATAATCTATTTCTGTATATGGAACTTTTATGCCTTAATTAGCATTTGGGAGGTCACAGATGGTATCAAAACAGTTATACGAACCAAATTCCTTACGATTGAGGTTGTAAGTAGAAAACTTTTTATGATATTTAGGAAATGAGTCATCTTTCCAAAAACTAGATCACCAACTCGTGTCTTTTTTTTTGTAGGAATGACGGGAGGGAGAGCGTCTATAAAACGTACCGAAAGATCTGAGACCCAGGTTCAATCGACCAGGGCCGAGTTTACCGAACTCTTCCGAGCTATCCAGGGACTGACTGCAACCGTAAGACAAAACCAAGTCAACCCTTGCCAATATTTTGCCCTAGAATATCGACCAGCCAAAGATCTATCTTTCACAACATAGTAGAGTTTAAGAACCTTAACCCGCCTCACTTTGAAGGAGACCCCAACCCCTTAGTAGTTGAATTCAGCCTGGATCCTGTAGACAAAGAAACTTTTCTTTGTTTAAAACCTAATCGAGGAACAAAAAGTCCTCCTAACAGCCTTTGATGCTAACTGATGAAGCCAAACACTGGTGACAACTCAAAAAGAAGTCCTACCTACCCCTACCACTTGAGAAGTTTTCATGGACGCATTCTTTGATACTTTTTTTAGCCTATGTCTGAGAGAATAAGGAGGAGGAATTTCAGGACCTTTGCCAGAAAAACTTAACGGTTGCTCAATATGTAACTCGATTCATCCAACTGTTTAGGTTTGCCCCACTAATGGCTACCCCTGAAAGTTATAAAGTTAGAAAGTTTCTGAAGGGTTTTCGTACCAATATCTTCGATCGGATTGCGATGCTGAGACTCAGCTCGTATGCAGAGGTGCTTAAACATGCCAAGTTAGCTGAAAATCTTATCTCAGCTAGGCACCAATACATTGCCCCAGTCCGTACCCAACAACACCAATCCCAACAACTCAGAAAAAGATTGCCAGACCCAGTACATAGTCACTTGATAAACAACCCCGAGTTGCCCCTCCCCTGCTTTACCTCCACCTACTAGACAACCTATCCGACCTTCCCAACCATATCAACATTATGGTCGCTCGCATGGTGATATGCCCTCTCGGCGTTTTAATCACCCCTACTATAGGTGCAGAAGCACCCAACATCTTGTGAAAAACTACCTTTATTGGTTAAAGGACGTGGCCAGACCTGTAGCTCAGAGTCGTGTGTACCACCTTGATGAACCCAGTGCCCTCCCCACTCCTGTCCTTATCCAAGTTATACTTTCTATAAATGATATTTTTGCAAAAGTTCATATCGAT